GGAGATGAGAAGCGGTCGAGACGTTTGAAAAGTGTTTGTTTGGGACAGCATATATCAAGGCAAAACTTAAGATAATCCGTTATATTGACAATTGTGTCATCTAATGAACTTTCATGGAATAAATCCCAGTTAGTCCCTCTAAGAAGTAAAACTCACCACCAGATCATGACTAAACTATCCTATAAAGAAGCAATAAAGGCGGCACCCTGAATGAACACAGAGGGCTAATCTACAATTTAGTAGGTTAAGTCCCGATCGTCGTCGAAATTAACAAGATGAACAAGACTCCACCAGCAAAGAAAAGTTATGCACCACAATCCACCGAATCAAGAAAAAGCCTTCAGTCAATCAGTCCTTACAGTGTCCACGTTTGGTGAGATTTCCATTGTCGAGTTTAATTACTCTGCGAATTCTACTTCTAGTAAACCCCTTTCTATGGGTTCCTTTGAGTCTCAACTGCGCCACCATACCCCATAGCGAACCTAGCAACTTAGAGGTTTTCCAGTGACTGCCCGCGATGTCAGCTATACGGCCATCACAGATCTTCAGTTGGCATTGTTTATGATCAGAACTACAAGGTTATCTGATCGCCATTGAAACTCTGACTTTCACTTCCAATCAATGCAAATATCCTTATTAAACATTACCGCTATAGTTTATCTGTCAATGATCCAAAACTCCACCTCCTTCTAATGGATCGGTTCTAATAAACCCACGTGTTCCCTTAAGAATCAGGGTATAATTGCCTATATTCTCTCTAAAATTATTAAAGTTATCCATGTAGTATATATGCGACTTAAGGAACCATAGCTAACCTATTGAATGATTCGCGGTTTGTCCGTTTCAAGGTATGTACTTAGACATGCATGGTTTATTCTCTGAAATAAGTCTATACCTACTGGCAGAACCAACCAGTTTGAAATCATTCTGTTCGGGATATCTTATGCATGTTTTCTATTTTAAGCTGACGAGATATACCAAAAATATATCAGTGATCAGTTATCATATTTTGGATAAAGAGTATCGGTGTGTAGTGCACTTTGAAAGTTTGAACTTTTGTTTTAACGCATTCATATAATATAGCGCTGCTTCATTTGTGTTGTTCCGGCGTGACTGCTCACACGTGGCTTGCTCCCTCGTTGTGCTATCATTAAGCGCACTCTTCGAGCTTGCTACCCCAGCCAGTTAATAGACAAATTGTACAACATTCTCATTTATTAAATTTGACATTTATTCTGTGGTAAAAATATCATTCTCATCAGGGCACATTATCAAGTTACAAGCCTTTTTACTTCGAGTTCGTTAATCGGTACTTACACGTTAGGTAGAGTACTGATTAAGTTATTAAGAGGAGAAGTCTTTAGTAAGTGCGGTTAATCAAGGTCTACCTTAAGTATTTAGCGCCAAATAATTCCCCAAAATTATTGGCCACAGCATTCATCACTGAACATTGGATGCTAACCCTCACTGTTTAAGTCAACTCGTTTAGCTGAAGGCTTCCGGTCAAGCATCCACGCTATTTGGTACTCCATCATGTCACGTTTTTTCGTTCGTGCACGATCCCTAGCAATCCTCTCGCACTCCAATTTGGTCCCGAAATATACTTCGTAATTTGGACGATCAATTCTTGTGTTTTGCTTTGCCTTTGGTCTATGCGGAAAGAATACTACAGAAGTTGTGGGTATTAGATCTTGGTTTAGTATACTTCATACTATACGTGAACGTCAATATCCTCAGCCTCTAAAAGTGCAACCAGCCACTTACAGGTATATTCCTGCTTTATTCAAATACACAATACGCTGAAAACATTGTGACGTAATAATTGTTTGGAAAATCCTTTCTGAAAGATCTAAATACAATACTGATGCTTAGTTGAAAGTTTCACCTAACTTTGTTTTTCTGCTAGACTGTATATCATTGTTCTTGAGTTTGCACGAGATTTGTCGACTTGATCTTTATTATTTGCTTTTGTCCCTGTTTAATCCCTAATTTTAACGCATCTCCTTGTGTTTTTGTGGTTATATTACATCATTTTACTTCATTTATATACACAAGTGAAATTGATTGGACATTTGAATAAAAATCAATATAAGATAATGTACATTCAATCAGTAAGATGGGAAATAATATGTTTTTATAGTTAAAATAAGTAACTTGTTAGAATGTTATAATGTATGTGAAATGGAATAGAATCACCTATCGTAGCAGATATCTTTATGGACAGCTGGAAAGATGTTGCTCTAAATACATTTATTCCTACTCCAAAAATATCGTAGAGATATATGGATGACATTTTCACAGTGTTGAAAACAGAACATATCTCTCCCTAGCTTCTTGAAGCATATAAACTCACTAATAAAGGGAATAAAATTCACATTTGGATCGGAAAATGAACAAGGAGAATTAGCTATGTTAGCTTGTAAAATAAAACGAATAGAAGAAGGTAAACTGCACACTAGAGTTTATAAAAAGACAACGCATTCTGCTAATAGATATTTAGACTTTAATTCGTCTCATCTGTTAACTGTTAAGGCAGGCTTAGTTAAGTGTCTAACATACCGAGCAGTAGCACTAAGTAGTACAACAAGAAACCTAAGCGATGAAATGAAACAGTTAGAAGAATAGCTGGTTGGTGTTAAATAACTAAATATCCTATAAAATTCATTACGAATATCCAAAAAGATCAGAAGCAAAATAAAAATAACTGTGAAAGTAATAATGATAACATAAATAAGAAAGAATATAAGGCATATACAGTCTAACCATGTAAGGAGGGGACATCTGAGACCCTACGTAGGATTCTTAATAAAGCAGGAATTAGGGTGTCATTCAAACCTACAAACTCACTCAGGGACAAGCTCTGTAGGTTAAAAGACCCGGCAGACCCAATTAAACAAAATAATATAATTTACAAAACACCTTAAAATGACTGTGAGTTAAGTCAACTACATAGGTCAAACTAGTAGATCGGGAGTAGTCAGATTGTCAGAACGTAAGAATTTAGGTTAGGTTAGAATGACTGACCCCACCCACGAAGATAAGTGATTTAGAAAAAAACTCAGCAACCACACAACAGGGTGAGTAGGACAGAGTCAAAATTCTAAGAAGTAATATAGGCAGGTAGAGAGAGAGATTGTTTACTGAATCTTGCCTGGTTCATCAAGTCTACACCCAACACTTGCAACAGAAATGAATCAATACAAATACCAGAGATATGTATGGAAGACATTATTACCAGTCAAATCAGAGAAGGATAATAAATAATCTTAAAATTCTATTTCAATTCACATACATGATAACATTCTGACCAGTTACTTATCATGACTATACAAACATCTTATTTCCCATCTGATTGATTGAATGTAAATTACCTTATATTGATTTTTATTCAAATGTCCAATCAGTTTTACTCATGTATTTAAACGAAGCAAGAAAGTTGTGTGAGTATTGTCTTGATATGATTATGAGTGGCAATAATTTGTTCTGGAAACGTGGTGATCAGTAAATATTACTGTATAACACTGTGTGATTTATCAAAATAAAATCTTATCCATAATGGGTGCTTTTTTGTTTGATTGAGTCAAGGTAATTCTGACCTTGGACTGTGTGTGGGAATTGTCGGTGTGTGATTTTTGTGGACCAAGTTTTGATGCTGCCTTGTTGTGAATATTCTGCCTGATTTAAGGTACTTCTTACAGTTGAATTTTGGTTAACTAATTTTTTTCTACAGTACTTGTTTTGTACTTAGAAAGTTACTTTGTGTATATAACTGCCTGACGGCATTTTTGAGGTAATCTTGAGGTTTCGATGTTATTACTATTGAATAAAATCATAGATCTAACGACAAATAACTGTCTTTTCGCCGTCGTTGGGGTGTTTCATGACTGTACGTCTCTTAAGGAAGTTTGAGACAACCATACAGTGGAATGCAAAGACCAGTTTCCTGTGTTTAGACCACAATGAGTCTGTTTCCGTCGTTACAAACACCCCCCTACACTCACCTTTTTTTATTCCTTTACCTTCCCAGTGGAACACAGGGTTTCAAGGTAGAGGCTTAAAGTTTCTGTAGCAGTGGTGATTATTTTTACAGGATGGGGTTGCTAGCTTCATTCCCAACCTTCTTTCTTTACCAGTCTTATTACTGGCTTAGCGAGCGAGGTAGAGGATTGCGTTGGTGGTCGGGGATCGAACCCCGGACAACACATAAGTCGGGATTGGCGAGTACTCTACCCATGTGCCACTGACGCACCCACTCACTTTAACAAATCGAAAATATTCAAATCGCAGCTGGCAAGGATCTTGATTTGTTTCAGCATAGATTTTTTTCCAGGAACCGACTCTAGTTAAGGAATCATTGAAATACATGAAGTACTGAGTACCTGTTCCCATCCTAGCTTAGAACTCTCCAATAATACGTACCCGTGATCCTACCACTCAATAATAATAATTGGGTTTAATGTATTCATTTGAAGTTTTCATAAAGATACAGCAGCTGGATACTCTACATAATAGATTACATACGCATATGACAGTGTCACAAGCATGTCACAAGGAATAAGTAAGTTACGATGAAATGAAGGATGAAAATAGTGCATCAATTAGAGGTGGAAAAAAACAGATGTGAATGGGATTATAAAAGTTAACCATGGCAGTGTATAAGTCGCCAAATAGTTACTAACATAACTGTCTCCTGTCCCAAGCAATATTAACCGAAATTTATCGATCAGATACGTAATATAATCAATAACCGAACTGTAACTTGATGTTAAACTGCAGATACCTGCTAGTAGGCACCTCTGAATCTACAATTTAGGCATCTACTGATGTTCATCAGTAAGAGACAGTTTAGGTTTATCGATTATACGCCAAAACGGTCGACTCGACAGTCACAATACAATGCAGTAAGAAACGACTACGGTTATTTCCAATGTCTTAAGATATGAAATAACCAACCACGTTTACTCTTTCAAATCAAACCTACTTGGTGCTACTCAACCTACCTGAATTAATTCCACTTCACGGAAACCAACAGAATATTCTTTTCTATCAATGAGACGATAAAAACCATCGGTTAAATAAAGCACCAATGTATAAAGATATGGTCCAGTTTGAATACCAATTGGCCACCATAATTTAACATTTGAATAATTCCGTAATATTTCAAAGTGGATCATTGATTTCTCTTTCAGAGTGAAACACTTCCTACTGAATACATTTAATCCTTTAATATACGCTGAAATACACGGTTTCGAATAACGACGGTAATGGACGGCATTTATGACAATCTCAACGCTAATTTCAGCATTCCATGTTTGCTTTGATTCATGTTGTTCGGAATAAGCATAGAATTTAAATCCTTCACCAAATCTTAAACCTGATGCCGATGATGGTAATGACGATGATATGATTAATTTTGGCGGTACCCAAAATCCTTGAATCGGTAGACTTAAACCCCAATCCCAACCAAATATTGATTGAGTTGTTCTGACAAGATTTATATGACACTCCCCGTGAAATCTTCCCGGCCAACAAACTGGCGGAGGAATTGACTTCCGCTGAGCTTTTAAAGCGTCCGCCATTCTCTTTGCCATGAATACTGTTGACATACATTTTAATTCTAATGTATTGATACCTTGTAAATTTAGTAGGTGATTAATTCTCCATGTATAGGATAAAAAACTATTCTCTGTTGTGCCTAATCGATAATTATTTAGTATTATATCACAAAATGTATCAATACCATCTAAGTGTAATTCAACAACAGTAGATTTGTTTAAATGATACTGTTCAATTGTGAATGTTTTACTAAATGTCCAATTATCATATCCAATCCATTTTAAGCTGACATCATTATAATCTTTGAATGGGTCATTTGTATTTCCAGACAACCATTGTGCACTGTAACTATCTAAACCATACAGGGTGTGTATTTGATTCGATGTCGTTTTATTTGAAATAATCCAATTCCCGGTTAATGGAATCCATTTCACAGGATTTGCAATAGAGAATATTCCTGACAAACAGGATAACCATAGAAATATTGAAATTTTTGTCAACATTTTTAACACTCTTCGAGTTAGACACTTTCAATCGAGCAGTACACATACATTTGAACAGATTTGTATTCGGTGGGAAGTACACATTTAAATAAGATTAAAACAATAATAATAATAACAATACTTTCGATTGAAAATTTACAATTGATTATAATAATTATTTAAACAAAGGTTTTGATTAGTTGAAACAAGGTCACTTGATTCGTTTTTTTTCATATAGACACTTTAGTCTAGTAATATATGTCATCCTTCATTGATTTACATTCATTCAATGAAGCATTGAACAGCGTGAAATGGACATTTGTTTGTTTATTTACTTACTTATTTATTTACTAATTATGAAAGTGGTAGTTTTGAATAAGATTCATGCGTTACTTTTGAGTGAGGATTAGAGTAATCGCAAAGTGTTTTCACGCGTAGTTTAAAACAATCACACGCAAGATCTTATAACAAACATTACAGCATTTCTGAGAGTGTACATAATACAAGATCACATGAGACTAACTACTTGGGGAAATTCAAATCGACCGCCTTCGTTTTATGCATTTAATACTTTCATCTAACAGGCTTAAGAATATATATACTACAACTTTGTGAGTTTATATTGTATTGACCAAATTTAATCGGTGATGGTCTGAATGCAAGAAACTAACCTCTGCCTTCTACTGTGCAGCCGACAAAACTTCATTGAGACACGCGCTATCACGAGAAGTTCTAGAGTCAGGGAAAAGACGATTACTCTCCAATATTTTAGCACTTCTATTAAACAATAATGACATTAAAATTCAGAATTACCTCAACAGTGCTGTAAGACAGCTGCTGTACTGTAAGCCGAAACTGCTTAACCAAAGTTCAATTGTAAGAGATACTTTAGAACCAATGGGAATATACCCAACGCGGTGGGGATAAAAAGCTCTGTCTACAGGGATAACACACCAAGGCTTTCAGCAGGTCAGGATGACCTTCACTCACCCAAATAAACTCATACCGTTAAACAACACGTTGCCAAAGTACACACAACCACAAAGGAAGCATTGTGACCAAAGATTAAATCAGCATAAAGGCAAATAACAAAGGTCAGAAATCAACATGTAATATGCAAATGTCAAATTATTGATAGACAGTCTTGGGGAAACATGTATAATAATGACAAAGTCAGTTGAAATGTCTAAATAAGCATAAATATTATAAATAAATCAACCAGGAGGGATTTTAAAAACAATTCGTGTATTACACATGTGAGTGTAGTTGACTGTTCTTGTCTTTAGAGGTTATGTAACACTTTAGTAAACTCCAAAAGTATGAATTCATAAGTGTGGCATGTGCTACTCACAAGATTTTGTAAATAGTATGTTGTGTGTGATGTTTCCTGGAGGCTTAATTGATTCACTGAGCCATCTGAATACCCATCTAACAATATGAATTAAATTTTTCCAAATTCTTCCTGTGTAAGCCATTCAATTATGCTCATAAGTCGCAAAATGTTCCCACGCACATTTTCAGTTGGCTTTCAAACTACCGGTGCACATTTCTCGTAGACGAAGGAAAAATACTAAGAAGGCTTAGTATATGCTTCAAATCGAATAGCGTTGCATTCCCTGATATACTACAGTTAGCTATATTACTTGAAGATCTTGGATGAAAAGAGAATATTATACAAGAGATTGCGCCAAGAATTCTGTAAATTAAAGTATTGGTTTGTAGAGATTAGATTGATCGGTTACAGGATTTTATCATGAGCTGACACAGGTTATAGAACCATAGGAAAACCAACAGGGAGTACTGAACAGCTTTTTTGTTAGCCTAGTTTGGGACTCCTCATAAGTGCGCACCCACCAGAGGGATTCGAACCCAGGACCTTGTGGTTACAAGGTGAGTTAACTCGCAGATCATTAAGCCACTGGGACCTGATCCAATTTTCAGCCCGCGAATTCTAACTTCTGCCAATTCATGACATAGAACGTCCACTAGCCAATGTCTTCAGCAAGTATTTGTCCTCACACCCGACCTGCTGCACCCTATTGGTCACGACTAAATATCTTGTCCAGATTATTATTATGCCCTTGGGTTCCGAGTGGAATGTTGGGCTTCAACAACACATCTCCACTTTGTTCTGTTTTCTGCTCTCCTCTTCATCTGGTTGACCCCACGACTGTCCATAATCTCTGATCTCCTCCTCGCATGGTCTTCTCCAGGTCACCCTCGAACTCACAACTAACTGGTCGTTTCCCATTGGGATTACACTCAAGCGATGGTCTGCACTGTGCGCGATATCATTCGATGGCCTTCTCAGCCAGCATATACCCGATCCATCTCCATTTTTCCCACATATTTTTGAGCAATCGGCTCTTCGTTGGTTTATTCCCAGCCAGAGTTTCTTGCTGCTAATTCTTTCTGGCCAACCGGCCGGCCATTTGATCTTCAGTATGGAGTCAGCCAGTGAAGCGGGCAGCTGTTGATAAAAGTCTGTAACCCGTCTTGTACTGAATAAAGCTCTTATTATTAAGTATTGAATAGCGGGGTATAAATCAAATTGAAAAGAGGAGAAATGACAGATCTTTGTGAAATAAATAAAGGGAAAGCCGCAAAACTAAAGACATAAAAAAATCACTAAACGAAGAACATGTGTAAATGGAGACTTCAATGTAAGGTTCATGCATACTGCCGTAACTGAACACCATTGGTGTGTTTTGCCGTCACACACGTACTGTTCAATCCCATACTGATTATAAGATACAAGGAGTAGAGTGACCTAGGAATTTGATATCAAAGTGTTGGTTTGTAGGGATTTGATTGGTCACCGGATTTCATCATGACCTGACATCAGTTAGAGAACATTTGTAAAAAATTATATTCATTTGAACAGTTAGAGAACCATTGTAAAACCAACTGGGAGTACTACCAAGCTGTTTCGTCAGTCTAGTTTGGGACTCCTCATAAGTGCGCACCCACCAGAGGCGTTTGAACCCAGGACCTTCTGGTTAAAAGGTTAGCTAGCTTGTAGACCATTAAGCCACTGGGACCCGATGCAACAGCCAGCCTATGAATTCTAACTTCTGCCAATTCACGATATAGCGACCCCTAGCCAATGTCTTCGGCAAGTATTTATCCTCACACCCGACTTGCATCAGTAAAGGAAGCAAGCCGCCAGCTGATTGGTTTAAATTGTTTCGAGAAATATTATTTCTTCTGATGAGTAAGCAATGTGCAAAGTTTTAGACTCATCACCAGCTGTACTTTATCAGTTTCCCTGTTGGTGTTCAGGCGAAAAGAGCTTAAGTTGAACTTCAGCAGAGAATATGATGTTTATATTTCAACTGGAGGTCAGCGTGAACCACTTCAACAAAACTAGAGTTTGAAATGTTTATCAGTTTGTTCCAACTAACAAAGAAGACTGATGGGACTTTGGAACGATCAGTTTTGATGATATTAGACGGTTGGAGGTAATCGACAGGGAGCCTTGGTTAAACCTAGGTTTCGTGCTAGTTGGCACTCACTAGTCACCAGTGCGTATCTGCAGCCTCGGAGGAACTCATATTCTCTCTGAGATCCAAACCTGCGTAACCCAGTGGGTGCTGCAGTCAGAGACGTTACTACTAGTGAGTTGTTCGGGCTCGCGGTTGACCTCCTGTGTGACTGTACTGGATACTTTGATTAGACACTAGTCAGTAACTAGTGTAATGTGTCTAGTCCTTTCTTTGATACAGACTGAAATCCATCAGTCAGGATTGCAGTGTAACTACCATTCTAGGTAGCTCGCCATCACGATGTGCATTGATTTGATGATAATAGATAATTGGAGGCGATCGATAAGTATATAGAAAGTCTAAGTGTAACTACAATTGGCTACCCATCGATCGCAAGCGGAACCTAGCAATATCTCTTCCAACTGGAATCCAAAGAATCTGCAACCCTGAAACAGTACAAAAAAGATCACTCTTTTGAAGAAAACACTATTCGGCAATGGCTACTCCACTCCCATGCTTCATAGATTAACACATACAGTCCAAAACTAACAAAAACACGCCATTTAGGTGCCCAAGAAGATGCTAAACATAAGTCTGGTGTTCGAAGGCGACCTTCTGACCGACATCCTAAAGAAGAGAATATTTAACACCTTGAAAGTAACATTCTTTGCTGCTACATTACAACTGGTATTCCCTTGACGCTCAATGTACCTTAACAACCCTAAAGATAAATTGTCGCAGTTGACCACTTCTATGTGTATCTACCAATTCACCTGCTCATGCGGAGCTCGATATATAGGTCGTTCGATGTGTGTTTTATCTAAAAGAGTCAAAGAACATTATAATTCTACCTGGTTACAGAAAGGTAGCACGGAATCAGTAAAGGGTGCTATAAGTGGACACTTCTTCAACAGTGATCATTCAATATTGTAAACATAATTTATTAAAATTGATTGAATTCGTCAAATATACCAAATTCAATCATTAGTGGGTGTATCCTGCGCATAGCATTTATTGATTTTCAGTAACTAACTCTTTCATTTATGTTAAGCTTAGAAGACAACAGGTGAACACAATTCATTTAATTACTATACTCAGTATTAAACTTTTATTCATGATACTACATACAGGTCAATATCGAGTCCGTACACACACACACACAATCTCAAATAAAATTTAAAGTACAGTCTTTTTTAGAAAGTATTATAAAAATAAGAACAAAATGTTTTCTGTTTTATACATCCAAAAACACACCTAAACGGATTCAGAAATTGTGCCGAATTAATCACGCTTGATCAATACACTTGTAAATGAATATAGTTTTGATTGGTTAGGGCATTTCATAATGAGCTGACATTGGTTAGAGAACCATTGGAAAACCAACTGGGAGTACTACCAAGCTGTTTCGTCAGCCTGGTTTGGGACTCCTCATAAGTGCGCACCCACCAAAGGGGTTCGAACCCAGAACTTTCTAGTTACAAGGCGATCTCGCAGATCATTAAGCCACTGGGACACGCCAATCCAATGGCCAGCGCATGAACTCCAACTTCTGCTAATTCACGACATAGTGCGACCACTTCGCAATGTCTTCTTCGATGAGTAACTGTCCTCACCTTCAACTTGCTGTACCCTACTGATTTC